AATTAAAATAAGCATGTAACGACCACAAACGGAGGAAAATAGCAGAGTAAAAGTACCGATACATCACTTAAAATGTACTCAAGTAAAAGTAAAAGTACACAATTTTTAAACTACTCAAAAAAGTACAATTACTGATAAAAAACCACTTAATTACTGTAACGTGAGTATTTGTAATTCGTTACTTCACACCCCTGGTTACAGTACAATGCCAAAATGACGCCCTTTCTGCCACCAGCACACGCCAATTCTGTGATTCGCGCTGTGTGACCTGAAAACACCACAGCAAATGGAGGCTGTGATTACACCTCCTGCCTGCACCGCTTCACAGGCAGAGCTTCTGCACAAAGCACAAAAAGAAGGAATTGAATCCAAAATGAGTTTGTTCCAGAGCAGAAGCCAGAAACTTTCACCTTTCTTTCTTTAATTTCACTGACTGCACTTTGGGCTCTGGCACAAAAACACATGACCTAAGACAGACACATGGGTCACAAAAAAAAGTGCAGACAACCTCACCTGTGTCCTTTAAACACCTCATTGCCGTCGCTGTCCATCTGGAAGGTTTTATCCCGGTTTATACTCTGCCAAGCAAGAAAGAAAGAGAGAAAAAGAGCAAAGGAGAAGGAGAAACATTTATAACAATGTGGGGAAAACAATCCAAACACTAACATGGGTCAACAATAACGACAGCCTGCTGGCTTGGGGTCAGTGTGAGAGTTTGGGGTCTCGCCGCATTTTACATTCATTGATCATGTACATGTTTTTATGCCAACTACAGGACAGCTGAAAAAAATCCTTATAGTTGATCACTGGCTAGAGCAAATTAGCTTACAGTCCTGGTACACACAATCCCGCTTCGTCCTGCAGCCGGTAGCAGGGGATTTAGCTCCAGCTGTCTCCTAAACGGTCTGATCGATTGACTTAATGGCATTAATTAAGGAAGAGTCTGTAGGAGAAGTACGGTGGCCTGGACTGGACCACAGCTGACTCAAATCATTACATCACCTCTTTAAAGGCTGACAATAAGGAGCATCAATAATACATGACAGGAAGAGTTAAAGGCAGCAGGAGATCTCTGGCCATTCTGGAAAATAAATGCATGTCTTTCATATTCAGAGTTGCACATTAAATACGGACAGATATCGCACTGGTCCGGAAATAAAATCCAAAATGTGATTAGGAGGAGGAAATAGTTTTGAGAGACTTCGTTATAATTCAAATAATAGAGCTGTTCAGTTTGTAGTCGTGAAACCCGGAAGAGAATTGGCAATTTCAAGCCATGAGTTCCCTCTGGAATATCTAATGGGGTTTTAGAATAGAGGTTTTTGATTTATGATTAAAAGGAGGTCTGTGGTTAAAATTACTCCAAGAGACTGTGTTCAAAGTCAATTAAACATGGGAGATCCCAAACATTGTGCCAAAACATATCTGAAACCATTGTGTGCATTAAAACATAATAAAAAGTTGCTACAGTTACCACAAGGAATTCATGTGCATGAGAATTGTTCTCCATAAGTCTCTAATGCTCACCAAGGCTGCATTTATATAATCAAAAATACAGTAAAAACAGTAATATTGTGAAATATTACAATTAAAAAAAAAACTGTTTTCTATTTTAATACATTTAAAAATTTAATTTATTGCTGTGATGCAAAGCTGAATTTTCAGCATCATTACTCCAGCTTTCAGTGTCAAATGATCCTTCAGAAATCACTCCAATATGCTGATTTGCTGCTCTGTTATATTATTCATTATTACACGGCTATGTGGAATACTTGATTCTGATTGGTCAGTCGCGACATTCCGAGGTATGTTATCCCTCGATAACAACCGGTAATAACTAATAAAAAAGGCTCATCCAGGTAACTGAAGTTGGCGCTATACTGCCAGGAACCGTTTTTTCTTGGTGGAAGCTTTGCGTTTGTTTAGCTAATAAAATATTAAAACTCGATTCAAAATTGTTTACAATTATTTAATTATGTCATCCTGGTATCGTGGACTCGCTCTCTCGTTTCATACAGCAGCTGCTGCCATTTTGCTACGATTGTTTTGTACGCATAATTATTTATGTGGTGAAATGTTGTGTAATAAGTGGTTTGACTGCACTTTATCCCTTAAATAAAACTTCTAAATTATCTAAGCTAACAGAGTGTGTTAAAAATGTAAAAGATTGGATGACCAATAATTTTCTC